GCTAAATGCGTAGGGGGCATTAAGGAATCTACTCCTGAAATCATTATTTTATAATCTGCTAACTAATTTGGATGTAAATTAAAAAAAAATAAAATTAATAAAAAAAGATTATTAAAAGAAAAAAAAGATTTTCAAGCACTTCTTTCCTTGACCTGGATTTCATTTTATTTTTTAAACAAAAGGGCCTAATATGTACATCAGTGAAACAACTGGATATAATATTTGCATAACCCATTTTAAATTATGATCCAAATGCTGTATTTAAGCTCAATAAAATGTAAACCAATCCTGTAAATAAAATTTAAAAAGGACAAATCCATATACCATTTCTGGTATTTTCCCTGCCAGTCAGCTCTGGGACCACAGAATGAGAGGAAACTGCTCTTGTCCACCTTTTATAGGAAGCATAATAAACCAGGAAAATGGCATCTAAAAGGCACATTAATCAGTTTCCCCAGTTTAATGGCGAAAGTACTGAGAAATGAAACAGCAGAACCACACATTAAAAAAATTTAAGAACTAAAAAGTGTAATCAATGTTTTTTTAACTAAAAAGAAACAAAGCTTTTAAATCTTTTTTAAAAGTTTATTTATTTATTGAGAGAGAGAGAAACAGAGCACATGAGCATGGGAGGGGCAGAGAGACAGAGAATCCCAAACAGGTTCCTTGCTGTCAGCACAGAGCCTGATGTAGGGCTCAAACTCATGAACTGTGAAATCATGACCTGAGCCTAAGTCAAGAGCCGGACACTTCCTCAACTGACTGAGCACCCAGGCACCCCAAGAAACAAAGCTTTTAAACTGAAAGAGAGAGCTATTATTGATGAATGATTGTCTGTCTGTAGGCCTTTATATAAAGATCTGTTCCCTCTCCAAGCAATTAAACATAGTAAAATGAGCTAAAGATTTCAGATTTTTAGGCTGGGCACAAGTAAGAATTTACTGACAAATAGATTAAATAGCCACATGAAGTGTCTTCAAAATAATTGACTTAGATAATATTTACCTAAACACAAGTAACAAGGAAATTTCTGGCTTTGGGATTCTGTCACACTTTTTTTCCCTCTTCCTATGCTAGATCCGGGGCAAGAGGAGGAGAAATGAAAGAGTGGCCAATGCCCTCTTTTTATTTTTTAATTTAATGTTAATTTTTATTATTGAAAAAATTTTAATTCCAGTATAGTTAACACGCAGTGTTATATTAGTTTCAGGTGTACAACACAGTGGCTCAACGATTTCATTCATGCTCAGTGTTCATTTTAAATGCACTCTTCCTCCCCTTCCCCTATTTCACCCATGCTCCACCCACTTCCCCTCTGGTAATCATCAGTTTGTTTTCTATGGTTAAAGAGTCTGTCTCTTTGTCTCTCTTTCTCTCTCTCTCTTTTTTCCTTTGCTCATTTGTTTTGTTTCTTACATTGTACATGAGTGATATCATATAGTATTTATCTTTCTCTGAATTATTTCACTTAGCATAATACTCTACAGATCCATCAACGTTGTTGTAAATGGCAAGATTTCAATATTTTTA